TGCTGACTCACTAAACGGCTAAGCGATTAGCGCAAAAACAGAAAGTCTCTTTTCTGACATCACTGTCATTATTGTGTTGAAGACGATTGAAAGACGTCTCAACTCACTTGGATACATTACACAAAAAGTAAGCGACTCGTATGTGACCCATGCTTCCACAATTGATCATTCGGCCTTTGCCCTATTTCATCCAAACTCTTTTAACTCACCAAGAAGTCTGTAAAAGAAAAAAGTTATGATACATATTATTTAATGTTAGTTGATCCAGAATAAAAAAAAAAAAAAAACATTGGTGGGCGTTAGCTTTCTATTGGATATTATCCACCGATAGTTGATTACTCCAGCAAGCAATGCCTTATCTGGCAAGTGTACCATCACGTGAATCATACTAGCAAAAAAAGCTGGAGGAAAAATCTGTTAGAACTTGCATAGGATATGCACAATGTTGTTTGCTAACTTTTTAACATCCGACACACACAACAATCTTGCAGTCAACTGCACGAAAAATTTCGACAACAACATTATCGGTTTCACTACATCAAGAGCTAACATGCTTTGTATACCAACCAGAAGAAGGTGTTAGAGTAGTACATAACAATTATGGCTTTTTAATCCAAAAAATTTACCACCTTCAACGTTGACGCAACATGAGATATTGGAAGCATACTCATCTGAAAACTTTACAGAAGAAAGAAATTTTAAAAACTTTTTCTTCCCTTCTTGTTTAACTGTAAAAAACAGACGACCCTTTCTCATTGTGTCACTGTGTTTCTTCATCCACAAGAGTCGTCTTATGCGCATTCGTTCCAAATTGAGGCAAGTTTTGACATGTGTGTCCATTAATTTTTCCTCAATGTGTAGAATTGCACCCTTCCCCCAATGTATCACACACATTTTTTACAATATGCATCACATCAAGGTTGTGTCTCCTTTTTAACTTTGACCAGTATGAGAGCTCAAATAACATACTCTTATGCGTCTAATTGAGATGTGTAATTAGTCTGGACATAATTATAACTTTTCCAAATGGACCAAATTCCATACTATTTAACTAGGCCAAAATCTCATGCCCGATCATTCTCTGGGTCTTAGGTGAGTCTCTATTGTGCCAGCTAGGCTTTAATGGAAGATCATGCAACACCTTTTATGGAATCTTCATCGTTCTATTCTGAGAAGTCATTTTATATCTTGGCTTATTGTACATATGGCATTTATCCAACTCCTTGTTCAACTTATAGAACGATATAAAATTATTTATGCATGCATGAATTTTTTTCATACCCCAATTCAAGATCATTCAACACCTGTTGTGCACTTTTATAATCTTTAAGCTAACAATTGCCCTTTGGAAGCATCCTCTTGAAAACTCCCATAAAGTAATCAAAACACTAATTTGACTTATGAAACTTGATTTTACCAAGCATCAACTCAACAATGGTCGTAAGTACCAAAAGGTCTCCACACCATGGGTATAATTCTTGTTTGGCATTTTTAATCGTCTTTCATACTTATCGAATGCTTCACTATCCATGGTGGGAGACACATCATCTTCCACTTGCTCATTGTCATTGGTTGAGGTGTATGGATACGTGTCATTTAGAATACCATGACTTGGTCATTAGCATCCACACTAGATTCAATAGTCTCCACTTGTGACTGGTACAAAGACGAAGCATGGTCTAATCGTTCCCCATGATGATTCCATCCCGTATGATGATTCCTTCTCGAATGGGTTTGTGTCATCCCATTTCTTACCAAATGATATCAAACACTTTCAAATGCCTCCCATATCGAGTTGTTACACTTCCGACACAGACACTTGATTTGAGTTGAACCTCGATTGTGTCTCTTTACTAAATCAATAAGCTAATTTATCCCATTAAATATTCATCAACAACTCGTTCGGATATTGTATCCATTGTCTGTCCATTTTATGCCTTCTCATTTTATACCTCTGGTAAGGCCCTACCCCATTCGAGAATGCACAATTATCTGTCGTAATTAATGGCTCCCCCAAGATTAGATTTCACATGGGAAAATTTTGGGAGAATATCCCTACAATGCTCCAAGCACACGACATAGATATCAAATATCTAGTATGCAATCGAAAAACGAACAAAGATGTTGCAAAAAAAATTCCACAATTAAAACCTAATCCACAAACCGCAAACTACGATACAGAGATGTGCACTTCCAAACTATCCAAAAATGGAACAACTCAAGAATCAATTGATCGCAGTCATGCTGTTGCATCTATGCGCTAAATCCAACTAATTATCAAATGTGAAACTAAGTTTTCTTGAACAAAAGTGTACGAATACTAGTAACTTTGTACATCACAAAATATATTTGCACGTCAAGATTTATTTGAATACACAAATCTATTACTTATATCAAATTACCATATAAATTAAAATAAATTAACTCAACAAGATAAAATAATCACGAAAACAACTTCAAATTCGTTCTCCACCAATATTGTTATACCCTCGATTGTCGGCGGTCAGAGGGAAAAAAGAAAGAAGTTTTGGGATTTTAGGGAGAAAGAAGTTTTGGGATATGGGAGATAGAAATTTGGAAATTTGGGGAAGAAGATGAGGAAGAGAGGAAATGAGGAGAGAAAGGTGCAGATCTGGGATTTTAACTTGGAATACCATGAACCCTTGAGCGATGAAACTCTTCATCTCCCCAAATGCCTTCTTCGTCGCCCAATAAATTTCTACCATTATTGTCTCACCTAACTTTTTGGGCTTTGTGCAACGAAGTTTGAAAGGCATTCATAGCCTCCTTTTACCTAGGCAACAAAACGTTTCGTCGCGCAATAAATTCATTTGCCGCGCAAAATTTAGTTCCAAATTCTCATTTTTCAACGAACTTTTCCTGATCTTGCGCGACGAACAAAAACAGCATCGAGCAAATATTGTTTGTGTGATGAAACTCTTCGTCGCACAAAGGTTTTGGGTTTTTTTTTTGGGCGCGTAAATTTTGCACGACAAAAGAAAGTTTTGGTCGCGCAAATGTCTCTTGGATGACGAAACTTGCTTCGTCACCTAAAGTTCTATCACAAAAGTAGATTTTTACTAGTGACTTCGTTGCTTAAATTTTTGTCACATAAGTAGTTTTTCTTACTAGTGATTCATATTTCCAATTTCCACCATTGCTTATTCTTTAGGCTAGTCCAGAGTAAACTTTTTTTGGACGATAGAGGCTTGCCCAAGAAAAAAAGTTCCCGGGATTAACCTAAATAGCGAGGGATCGTGGAAAGATGACATAACATTTTATCGTCCAATATGCATACAAAAGTTCGTTGAATATTGTCTTAAGATGTTTGTTGGCTAGTTATAACATGTTAGAGAACATGAAGAAAACGAAAATGAGAAAGAAGCTAATGCTCTCTGTAACGATCTTTGAATATGTCTTACAAAACAAGAGATTAGTTTTCATACTTTGACAACTTCATATACTCTCTGTTGTAACAGAGCTCATTATGATAAGTAGTATTTTAACAAACTATGATGAGTTGATAGTGTTGCTGAGAGCATAAGACTTTGTCATCGGACTGTTGTGGATGATGCTTCGGCTTAAAAAGGTTTCGATGTCGACCTAGAATTCTCATGTATTTGAGGAGGCACTGCGTTAGGGTTTAGTTTTCGAATTTTGGAGAAAAAAAAATACATTTCTCAAATATTGGTTACTGGTAATCAAAGGATGTGAGTGTGACAGTACTGTACTCACCCAAATTTGTGTTTAAAATTTTAACCTTTATCTATTTTGAACAAAATAATGGTCACTTTGTGTATTGATAAAGTCGGTGGACAAATTCAGTAACTCTATAATTAAAAAATCAATATGCTAGCATCGTCACTGACTCTTATGACGACGAGCCAATGCCCATGTGGTTTCCTGGTTAACTCTAACTTTCCTAACAATAATTTACTTTCCCGACTTGTGTGAACATACAGCAATCACCACCTATATTAGTATATTATTTAAGTTCAGTCTCAAGCTAAATGACAAGAAGAATAGCAGAGGATCACATGTCGGTTGGTTTGGACGTCTCAAGCTTTATCAACCAAATTGATCTGGTTTAACACTTTTAACTCACGTAAAAATATGCAAAACCATACAAAAGGCTCTAATTTTTCAAATAAACAGTAACCATATCTGGTTTAACTCACTTCATCCTGATGCTTTGCCTTTAAAAATGTTGCACAGTATGCGTGGCCAAATAAAAAGATGTCAGTAAGTAATTACTTCAAGTAAATATCAAATATCACCATATTTTTCCTTTGCTTAATTTGAAAGTAGAACGTAACTATATTAGTATTTCAATAATAATATCGATTTTGTGTGTCTAAATTAAATACTCTCCTTACGAAGTATTTTTGCTCCAACTCCACGAAAACACATACTCATTACTACTATTGAATATTCATTAGAACACTGGTTGTGAGGGACAGACGAATACTTGGAATTAACAGCTAATACATCCACATAAATCCAAACTCCATAATCCACAGGCTTATCCCAGCATATTCAACAGCCAGGTTATACCATTGGAGAAATTTTTCAATGTGACCGGTACAGTGTCATTATACAAATATTGAGAAATATGTGTTAAAAAGTTAGTAACTTAAAAAAAATTAAAAACTCACCATTTATATAAAAACACGTGATGTACCCTCTGTGTTCCGATCACAATAAAATTTTTTTTTCGTACCATAGGCATCACTTCCAGTCCAATAATTATTGGAGGAGGGTTTTCTACCCTCCTAATCTCTCTGCCCTTCCATGCCCTCCTATTTGAACGGTCACAGTTAAGTCACGTCAACATCTTATATTGATTTTTTTTATAGAGATAATAAGACAAAAAGTAATATGTGAAAGGAAGGAATGGAAGAGAATGAGAATAGGAAGGTAGAGAATCCCCCTCTATAATTATTTCAAGCCCAGCCCTACCTCACTCCATCTATAAAAACCCTAGCTAGGTTCCAGTTCAAACACATCCTCTCAATCAAATTCCTAATCCTTCTAAAGCGAAGAGCCTTCCGTTTCACAAGCCAATCCAAACGTCCCAAATGGCTTCCAAGGCTGTAGCTTCCACTGCCCTCCTCCTCTCCCTCAACCTCCTCTTCTTCACCTTGGTCACCTCCACCAATGTTGACTGCCCACCACCTGCAAAAAAGGGACACCACCCTAAGCACGCAAGTCCTGCACTACCAAACCCCAAGCCCTCTAAGCGTGCCACGTGCCCAATAGACACTTTGAAATTGGGAGTATGTGCTGACGTGTTGAATGGTTTGGTGCACCTTGTCGTTGGTCCACCAAAGTTCCCATGCTGCAGCCTCATTGAGGGCCTTGTTGACCTTGATGCTGCTGTGTGCCTTTGCACTGCAATCAAAGCTAATGTCTTGGGGATCCACTTAAATGTCCCCGTTTCACTGAGCCTGCTCTTAAACTACTGCGGGAAGCAGATCCCTACTGGTTACAAATGTGCTTGAATTTGAAGCACTATTTATCCGTCGTGCTCTCAATTTTTATTACATATGCTTTTAATTATTTTCTCATTTCCATTTGGTGCGTGTCTAAGAGCTTTTGGGATGTTTATTGGTATACATATTCCATTTTTCATTCTTATTAATATTTCTTTCTATGTTTTGGTGGATGGATGGAAGGCTCCTTGCCTTCTTCCACATCCTCTCTAGCATTGTATTTTAATGAAAATTGTGGTTCAAATGTAATAATTGATGGTTGTTTCAGAAAGTAATTTAATTCATGTTCGTAGCTATATGCTTTCTACTATATATAGTCTTTTGCCAATGATTATATTTAGATACATAAAATCAGTATAATCTTTAGTAGAGTTGAGCCCTAGCACTGTATTTGGAACTCCACATGTTCTATTGTTTTTGGATCCAAAACAATAGCTTCAAAGGCAAAACTTTAATTTCATTTTCTCCAAATTGGAAGAATTGTAAGGCTCAGGGAAATTTTGCATCAGAGATTTTCATTAAATCCAGTTTATCCGACAACAAAAAAGTTGAATAAATAAAATCCAGTTTAAATCAACACACAATACTTCATCGTTAAGCAAATTCTTTGTCATGATATGATAACAATTATGAACTTAAATAACTGTCATGCTATCAACAAGCTTGTGATCACCTCTAAGGTAAGTGGCCTAGGATTTAGAGGTCCACCTTAAGCTAAAGATAATTAGTATTCTAACAAACTAAAGGCGGTGGTATTGAAACTGAATTGGCACTATTAATTAGCTAGCAGCTAATCTCTTGGTCATAGTTCTATAGATCATGCGATCTTGTTAAGGAGACATACTTTCATGCAAATAAAGTTTAGTTCTAGTAATTTTATTGTCCAATAATTGTTCGTCATGTATTTCAAAAATGCATTACTTATCCAATATAACGATGGCAACGTGATAAATGGTGACATGAGATAATTTTTCTTTGTGGAGGATGCTAGCCTTGCACTTGGAAAGGTTTCAGTATCGCCCTATAATTTGCATGAATTGGGATTGAGGAGATACCACTTCTGTAATTCAAGACGTTAGAGTTTAGTCTTCAAATTTTGGTAGAAGTATATGCTTCTAAATAAGTTTTTGTTGGGGGATTTTTACGTGGACTTGGACTTTGAGAACGTCCTCTTGTCTCCCTTGGTACGGATTGGTAACAAGTTCCGACATATCTTGAAAGAGATAGTTTGTCTTAGGAAATACCCCGGTAATATCAACGGCTCAAAGATAGCATGATTGATCAAGATAATCACTTGCTCAAGTGAAGCATGGTGTGGAAGGTAGAAGATTATCAGTTTACAGAAGAGAGAAGGGGCTTGCATGGTTGCATGGCATTCTTAGTTGCATGATTTGGGCTTTCCTAGGGTGATAACTCTCTGGGCTTATTTCCTGGGTGGTTCTCTCTTCCTGCGTTTCTTCTCTATCTCTCTGTGTTACTTTAATCCCCTTCTGATGGCTTATCCCCCTCCTTATGTAAGTGAAGGCTTCTTCCCTAGGTTTCAAGGGAATATCCCTTTATGGCTTGGTATTCCCCTCCATTCTCCCTAGCTATCTTATTATTCCCCTTTTGGTGTAAACTAGCTACATTGTTGAGACCTGCAAATTGCCTCTTCCCAAGGTGCGGCTTTCCCAGGGCACTAAATCTGGTAATGCACTTCATGGCTTTTGCGCATTGGCTGTCTATGCAGGCTGGGAAGGGAAAGTCAGCATGAAATGCCTGGCTTGTTGGGCTTAACATGCATTTAATGAAAGAATCTAGTTTAATCCTAACTAAGGGGGTTGGGTTGCTAGGGAAAGGGATAAACTAGGCTAGTTCTCTCTCAATGATGCCTGCGTGAAACACAAAGGTTATAGGCTTGGATCTTTGGGCTCCTAAGCAGCCCAAAGTCTTCCATGACCCTGATTCCACGTAGACCTGATAACCTTCCGTAACCATCCACACCACAATCCACTGGCAAGCCCTGAATATGTGACTTGGGCTTAGCATGATTTGTGGCTAAGGAAGCATGGAGTGGCATGATATCTTTGTAAATATATTCATTGTCGATCCCATGCCTTAGCGTGTGTTTGGGTTTGAATGTAGGCTTTTCATGATAATTGGACTTTGAGACTTGGTTGGGTTGGTGTGTAACATGCTTAGGCCCCAATAGTCTTAATTATCCTATCAATATGGTAGGAATAAGTTGTCAGTAAATTACCAATACGGGTCATTCGCAACCCATGCGCACAATTTGTATATGCATAAAAGAATTTCTATTACTGCCAGACCCATAGTACTGTTAATATGTTAGTGATATGTTGTTGAAATGGTCCACGCACACAATTGATACAAGAAGCAGCTTGGTGGTAAATAAAGGATAAAATGAAACAAAAAGATAAGATAGATAGGTAGATATATTGTCACGTCCACCGTAGCACGATATTGTCTGCTTTGGGCCTCGACCACACCCTCATGGTTTTGTTTCTGGGAACTCAGAGGAGAACTTCCCAGTGAGCTACCCATCCTGGGATTGCTCTCGTACGGACTCGCTTAACTTCGGAGTTTTGATAGAACTCGAAGCCAGTGAGTTCCCAAAAGGCCTCGTGCTAGGTAGAGATAAGAATATACATATAAGAGTTACAGGATCCACTCCCTTGGGCGATGTGGGATGTTACAATCCACCCCCTTAGGGGCCAAATGTCCTCGTCGGCACACTTCCGGCCAGGGATTGGCTCTGATACCAAATTGTCATATCCCGACCCCGACCCCCACCACTTCTCAGGCTTGACTCCACCGTAACACGATATTATCCGCTTTAGGCCTTGACCACAGCCTCACGGTTTTGTTTCAGGGAACTCAAGTGAGAACTTCCCAGTGGGTCACCCATCCTGGGATTGCTCTTGCACGAACTCGCTTAACTTTGGAGTTTCGATAGAACCCGAAGCCAGTGAGCTTCTAAAAGGCCTTGTGCTAGGTAGAGATGGGAGCTCACTGGCACAAGGCCTTTTGGGAGCTCACTGGCTTCGGGTTCCATCAGAACTCCGAAGTCAAGCGAGTTTGCGTGAGAGCAATCCCAGGATAGGTGACCCACTAGGAAGTTTTCATGTGAGTTCGCAGAAACAAAGCCGTAAGGGTGTGGTCGGAGCCAAAGCGGACAATATTGTGCTACGGTGGAGTAGAGCCTGAGATGTGGTAGGGGCCTAGATCGGGATGTAATAATTTGGTATCAGAGCTAATCTTTGGCCGGAACTGTGCCAACGAGGACGTTAGGCCCCTAAGGGGGTGGATTGTAACATCCCACATTGTCGAGGGGAGTGGATCCTGCAAGCCTTATATGTATATTCCCATCTCTACCTAGCATAAGGCCTTTTGGGAGCTCACTAGCTTCGGGTTCCACTGGAACTCCTAAAGTTAAATGAGTTTACGCGAGAGCAATCCCATGATGGATGACCCATTGGAAAGTTCTCGTGTGAGTTTCCAGAAACAAAACCGTGAGGGCGTGGTCCGGGCCAAAGCGGACAATATCGTGCTATGGTGGAGTCGAGCCCAGGATGTGGTGGGGGCCCAAACCGGGATGTGACATTAGCAAACTTTTATATAAATTGCTTTGAATATGTTAAATGACTAAAAAAGATATGGTATTTAATGTGATATAATAATTGTCAAAGATAATAATGTAAGGGTAAAGATTGTAATTTTGTAAAACATGTGGGGATATATTTGCCACTTGAAAATGTCATTAAATGAACATTTATTACTATGCTTTGCTACACTTCCTTTTAAAAGCATAAAAAAAAACACACTTTCTTTTAGAAGCATGGTAGATCTTAATTTGACTTTTCTATGCTTTTCTACTTTCATTAACAACAGTTTTTCAAAAAAAAATTTGTTTTACCAAACACATTAAATGTTCAAGATTTTTTTAATAAGCTTTTTTTTTTTTTTTTTTTTTTTTAAAGCACCACAATTCCAAGCCAACCCTTAATTAAAAACAAGTTGCAACTCAAATTTTAAAATTATATTTCAAGCAACTTTTATCACTCCTTACGAAAACAAATATTTATAAGTTTACTCTTAAAAGTGAGAAATATGAAAAGTCAAATTAAATAAAGCTTAAAATAAAACTTTTAGAAAACTAAAAGATTTCAGTTAATATTGAAAATCTCAAAAGCTAGAAATTCAAAGCAGTATATATGCATTATAACCCTAAAAAAGCAGCATACATGCATTATATCCTTGAAAATGCATGTATTTTACTTTAATCTTTTGGGGTACGTTTGTTTGGATGCTAGTACTCCCTTCGATTAACCCCTTCACTAAAAGTTCTTAGCAAGGACCCCCAATTATCACAGGATTGCTAAGCCCATCTTCGAGAGCGTTGCTCCCTAGTCATTCTCGGTCGTCCTCCTCACTGATTCTCTCAGTCATCTCCCAATTACCCTCAGCCGCCCACCTCCCAAACCAGCAGCCACCTCCAAAGCTAATAGCTATCTCTCTCTGAATCGATGGAATCCGACATAGAACCCAAAACCAAAACCCATCGACACCCAAGCACAAACACCATAAGAGGAAGATGAAGAAAGTCACCGTCCCCAATCAGTCCAACCGTCCAAGCCGTCATCCAATTTGTCCTAGAACACCCAGAAAAAAACCCACCTAAGTGGCCAATTTCTCATCTGGGTTCAACCCCACCAAGAATCCAAACCCCAATTCGACCAAGACCGAAATTTTTTGAATTGATTTGCTATGCCTTCTAGAATTTGTTAGAGGGAGATAGATGAATCTAGACAAAACTGGTGAAACAGTAGAAAAAGTGGGAGAGGGGAGTGAGAGAGTGGCGAAGGAAAATAGGTATTGTGAGAGAGAAGATTCTAGAAATAAAAAATTAGAGAGATAGGTGATTCTACAAATGTTTCATTAAGTCAGGTATTGCACCAAACGTTTCATTAAAATATTTTAATTTGTTAATTAGAGAGATAGGTGATTCTACAAACGTTTCATTAAAATATTTTAATTTGTTAATTACCCATGCTTCTTAATCAGGTATTGCACCAAACGTTTTATTAAGTCAGTCTAGTTTAGTCTAGTCTAAGCTAATCCAGCTTAGTCTTTAAAACTAGTCCAGTTCGAGATAGTCTGATGCAACAAACACACCTTTGATGTCATAGCTGCCATTAAATTCATGTAATAATGACCTTGGTCTATGACCTGAATCAGCAACCAACGTGCGCAATAGAGAATTCCTACGGACAGTAATGTACTTACTCAAATTAGG